CTCAATCACAACATAGGAAATAATTCTTCAATTTATGCAAACACTTGTTTTGTTTTCTTTAAAATTGTCATCAAGACATATTGATGCAAATAATTTATTTCCAGTCTTTTTCCTATATCTCCTATATTCTGGCCAATGGTGCGCCACTGTATGGGTAGAGGCTGCTGCGCAACACGCATGAAGATAATGCGTATTCACATATGTACGGTGTTCTGTACTGAAGCTAGCTGGAGGAACATTTGAAAACATAATTCAATCCACTAATAGTGAGCGATCTGATGTTTTTGTACGACAGATATACAGCAATTCACGGTAAGAAAAAGTCTCAAAAGTGTCCCCAAAACGCCCCCATATCACCCCCTTTTCATTCCATCGCCCCCCTGAAAAATGAAATCGCCCCCTGGGGGGCAATATCGTCCAGGTTAAGAACCACTGGTATAAATAAACAATAACATGATTAAGGAAAATTACACCAATAATCTATTAAAGCATACTTCTAACTAAAACTGTAAATGGTTTAATCCATTTATGGGAATTATATCCATTAATAATCTATTAATGAATCCCATTAATTCATTTATTAATTAATTCATTTATTAATGGGAAATAAATTATTAATTCATATAATTTGTAATTATTATACTTACTGTATATTAAATTTTGAAACCAAGAGGATATAATACAGAATACTTTGTCCCCTTTTCCAATGCTGCACAAATGTTAGTCTATGTTTGAAATTTATACATGAATGCTGGTAAGGCTTCTCAAGGGACAGGTAATTTATAGATAACCCAATTGAACAATACTTTTAAAAAAAAGTTTCTGGGATTCCCTGCTATCACTAGTTGGGCTGAATAATTTAGTTGTATATGCATGATTTTTTTTATTATTATTTCTCACTTGCTTCAGTTTATCTGCTACTTGATTGCTGGAGAGTCCCAGCAACTTACAAGTATCAATATAGAATTAAAATATGGAAAACCATGACATCTCCCTGGGAATAGTTTACCATATACATTCTTAATTACAAAGTGGCTTTTCCTAAAGTGCTAAATAATTAATATCAAGTAGTTTTAAAATTGTCCTAATATATAATGTGTTACATAGGTCATTGCTGCTGAAGGAAGTAGCTATATCCATAGCACAAAGGGATGTCTGGATATGTGTGTGGAGGTGTCAAAAAATTCAGTATGGTGATTCTAGCTGTATGTCTTAAGCTCTGCCGCTTCACAATTTTGATTGCATGATAATAGCTGCCATTTTCACTTTTTTGACTTCTTTCCCTGTGACTGTCACTTGCTGTATTCCTCCTTTTAAAAAGAATGTTCTCGCATTTAAGGTACATTTGTTATACTTAGGATGTAACGATAACAATTGCACTTGATATCTTGATTCGTATATTTGCCAGTGTTGACATTCCTCTTCTAATGCAGTCCATTTTGGTCAAACTTCTACAACCACAGTACAAGATAACTGGAATAAATATTCCCTCAGTTTAACCTAACAGCATCATTCTTATGTTCTTAGTTCAAGTTATTTATTTGTTGGCCATGTCACAGTAAGAACTTGGCTGTAGTGTTTGATAAGAAAATGTTATATTTGGCAAGAATCTGTTGCTGTAATATGTAGGAAACTAGACAAATAAATCATTTTCAGGAAAATGAAATGACAGGTTTGGCTAATGGAAAATGTATACTGATATTTTAAATTGCTATAAAAAGCTGACTTCCCTGAGAAAAACAAAATGGATTCTTATACACCAATATTAAAAATACAGAGCATACAAGGCCAGATAAATACAGAAAAAAGTTTAGATTTAAATAAATTTCTATATTTTTAAAAGTAATAATTTGTTACAATAGCATGTTAATAGAGTCAATAAGCACCTCAAATCAGAATGATGTCTGAGTAATTTTGTCAGAATCTTACCTACTTTAATTAATTGCATAAAAAATACTCATGTTTTTAAGCATGACATTTAAAGCAAAATCTTTCTAAACTTTCCTTCGATTTTCAATGAGGGAGATGTGGAACAATAGATATACATGGTTGAAAGATGTAGTTTAATGATTCTCACTGAATGGTCCAGTACAAATAATTCTCTTATAGATAACCTATATCATACAGGATAACCTATATAGATAACCTTCATTGTCACCTAAGATAGTGTGAAATAGCTACCTACATGCTGCCATAATGAAGGTCCTAATTTTTAAAATAACAATTAACATTTCTGTGAGCAGTGTTAAATTCCATCTATAGCAGTTGTGGCGAACCTATGGCTAGAGGCGGCACTCAGAGCCCTCTCTGTGGGTATGCATGCCGTCACCCCAGCCCTGCCTCCCATGGCCCCATCTGCACCAGCAACCCCCTGGAGGAGAGTCGCCCCCAAGCATGGCCCGTGCGGAGTAGTGCAGTCAAGGACAGGGCAGCCAGGACAAGACTCCACCCTCGCGCCCTGTTGCATGCAGTTGATGCTGCCATGGCGCTGCTGGGCCACCTGGGCAATTTGCAGCAGGCCATGGAGGCAGTGGGTGGCCCTGTGGGCAGGTGAGGGGCGGGCGGAGAAGGGGCAGAGCAGGTGGGGGTGGGCAGAACGGGTTTTGGGCACTTGGTCTCTAAAAGGTTTGCCATCACTGATCTATAGCTTCGCTGGGTCATTCATTACATATACAGTATGAATGGGTACTCCAATTTGTCTTCCCTACATTTTTTTTTCAAAAATTCATGTTCCTTTCATTGCTCTTCTGACAGTATTTTCAGGCTATTTGGAGATCCACATGCTGCATTCCGATATGAATTTTTATGTAGGTCACTGCTAGAGTAACGTGCACACAGGAAAGCAAACTGGAGTTTATTTATTTATTAGATTTTTATCCCACCTTCATTATTTTTATATGTAATTCAAGATGGCAAACATATCTAATACTCTTTCCTCATCCTATTTCCCCCACTCTGTGAAGTGGGTTGGGCTGAAAGAGAGTGACTGACCCAAGGCTTATAAACACTATGAAACTTATTAACAGAATTAGCAAGGAATTGGTATGTATATGTGTGTGTGTGAAAAACATCAAGATAGCAGTTGCAACCTTATAAAACATTTCCCCATTTAAGTGAAATTATGTGCATTGTGTATGCAATACCCATAAAAAGGGGCAGGACTTTGATCACATGGGCACAGCCACTATTTTGACTTTTTCAAATCCCCCTGTGACATTACTGGGATAAAGATTGAATTAGCTGATATAACCAGACTGTACAGTATAGTTGATTAGACAGGTACTTAGCAAGGGCATCTTGAGAGTGTCAAGACCAAGAGTTCTGATTCCCTCTTGGTACTGGTTAGTAGAAAAGAATTTGTTTCATTTTTAAGAACCTATAATGTGGATGAATACAACAGGTATAATTTGAACATGTGCATGTTTAAAAATGGAAAGTTGGACTAAGAACCTAGCATGCATGATAGCAATCAGACTTTGCAATGTAAGTTGTATTTTTTTTTAAATGTGGCTTCTTCTATTTTTATGAGGTTGACCTTTTAGTTCACTTATAAATAAATATATGTAGAATGCTGCAGAGTACGTTTTGTAGTGTGCTTATGAATAGCTAATGTGCTTTAGAAAACTACTACCACCAAGCTGTCTCATGCATAAAAGAGGTCCATTGTAGATCCTGCACAATCTGGAAAAACAGAAGAACTGAGATTGAACCCCATAAAAGATATTGAAACAATACTTCTTCTTTATCTTGATGTAATAAGGGTAAAACAGTGCCTTATAGTTAATGAATCTGCAAAGGTTTGCCTTAAGTATAAAATTTCAAATGTACTAAGTTGCTGTCAGGTGTGAAGAATCAAGATCATGCGTTGAGGTTAAGCTGCTTTATTGCTCATGCCTACACGCAAGCATCTAGTTAGCTAACAGTCAATAATAAATTGGTGTTAGGTAAGAGTTAACAGAATTCAAAAGGGGCTGGACTTGTACCGCTTGTGGGAAAGTAATGATTTCAGGCTGTTTGCTCTCTTGACTCCGCACCCAGACTCTGCTTCTCCTCCTATAGTTGCTAGGCCAGTGGTTCTCAACCTTTCTAATGCCGCGATCCCATAATACAGTTTCCCATGTTGTGGTGATCCCCAACCACTTACACATCGCTGGGCGCCAGGGGCGTGGCTGAGTGGGTGTGGTCACCAAGTGGGCATGGCCACCAAGTGGGCATGGCAAGAAAGACAGCCCCGGCCACCATTAATGCTGTGCCGCCACTGCATGTATTTTAATGCATGTTTACCCTGCCTTTAAATGTGGGACCAAAATTTACAGAAAGTTAGTAAATAATAAATAAGAACAGGCTGCTTTCATTTGAACCATAGATTATAGTGGGGACCTGGAGAGATTTCACTGAAGATGAAAGAAAGTATATGAAAGAGAGGGAATAAAAAGCAAAGCAGAAAGGAATAAGAAGAGTGAGAAATGGCATGGAAGTTATAGGCTTCGTGGATCAGAAATAAACAAAACAATTAAATCAGTTTTAAGAGAATAAATGGCAATAAATGGAAGATTCAAACTAGTTTTAAGGGAATAAAAGGAAATAAATGGAAGCATTAAACCACTTTAAACAATAAATGGAAGAATCAAAGCAGTTTATAAGCAGTTTATGAAGGGGAAGGGATGGAGATGGAGATGGAAGGAAGGAAAAAAGGAAAGATTGAAGGAGAAAGGAAGGAGATGGAGAAGGAAGGAGATTGAAGGGGGAAGGAAGGAAGGAGAGAGATTGAAGGGGAAAGGAAGGAGATTGAAGGGGGAAGGAAGGAAGGAGAGAGAGATTGAAGGGGAAGGGATGGAGATGGAGAGGAAGGAAGGAAGAAAGGAAGGAAGATTGAAGGGGAAAGGAAGGAGATGAAGAAGGAAGGAGATTGAAGGGGGAAGGAAGGAAGGAAGGAAGGAAGGAAGGAAGGAAGGAAGGAAGGAAGCAAGGAAGGAAGGAGAGAGAGATTGAAGGGGGGAGGCTCTGCCAAGGATGCACAAGCAGTCTGCACAATTGCCTGGGGAGGGGGGGAGGCTCTGGCAGAGAGCCAAGCAGCGGCACATCTGGGGCGTCAGAAGCTGTGCGGAGGATCCGCGCGCCTCAGAACCTCCAGCTGCCCTCTCACACCCTCACGGGGACCTGGAGCAAGATGACCTGCCAGTTCTCTGAGGGGTGGCATTTGTTGATGTGGCAGGTGAGGCCTGGCGAGCTGTAGAATGTCAATGGGCAGTATTTGTAGGGGAAGGCCTGGGCGGCATGGAGCACACGCAGGTGACGCTCCTGACTGCTCTTACTGGGGAAGGTCTCACCGCACACTGGGCAGAGGTGGCACTCCCCAGATAAGCTCAGCGGGCTGTGGCCGTCCAGCGCTGCCTCTTTCAGACAGGCCTTGGGAAGTGGGCGAGCCTGGGACAAGCCATCAAGGGGCTTGTGGTGGAGCGGCAGGTGCTTATTCAGGGCGCTTTGGCATTGGAAGCGCTTGGCGCAACGCGGGCAGGTGAATTCCTTGGCTCCAGAGGCCTCCGGTTCTCCGCTGCTGCCGCCCCCACCACTCCCTGGACTCGGCATATCCTGCTCGCTGCTGCTACTACTGTTGCCACCTCCACCACCCCCTCCCTTGGCAGTCTCCTCCAGAACAGGCTTGGCCTTGGTCGGCGAACCGGCGACGTACTCACCTTGTCCTCGAAGTGCAACTTGTGGGCTGCCTTGGCCTTTCTGCTTTGAGACCGCTTCGGTGCGCCTGGGTTTGGTCCATGGCTGCACTGAGGGGCAAGCAGTGGGCCAGAAGTGATGGCAGTGGCGGCGGCGGTGACTGCCCAAAGCTTGAGGTCTCCTCCAGGGCCCAAGAGTAACGGTTCTGGTGCCGGGAAGGACACGGCCGAGACGGCCGAGGCCAGGTGGAGGCTACGTTCCTCGCTCACCGCTTGCGCTGGACTGTGCAGCGGCGCCCGCGAAGAGGGCCCCTCCACTTTGGCGGATTCTGAGGCAGAAGCCATGCTGGGGAAGTGAGGGGCGGGAAAAGGTGGAGGAACCAAGAGCTGCACCGGATCGCTTCCTTCCAGCCCAGCGGCCAGGTAGCAGGAGCAACGCATCCGGTAAGAGATGGGCTTAGGTCTGCGACTCCTCTTGACCAAAAAGCTCCGGGGCATCCTCGGGCAGCTCCGGAAGGCATCTGCGGCTGGTGATGCTGCTGCCTCAGTCTCTGAGCAGCAAGCGTGGTTCTAGCATCCAGCTGGTCCTTCTTCGACCACCCCGCCTTCCCTCCGTCAGCTGAGCCAAGTAGGAGAAACAGAAGTAGTGGTGGTAGAGGAGGCCTCTCTTGCTTTCTGCCGCTTGTTCTCTCTCGCTTTCTGCCACATGCTCTGAAACCGAAATTTCCTTAGTTTATATAGAAAAAAGCTGCGCATGCACAAAGAGGAGAGAGGCAGGAATGGCTCTGTGTGCCACCTGTGGCACTTTCGAAAGCCAATAAGAGGGAGTAGCACAGCTAAGGAAACGTGGAAAAAATGGCGGACTGCGTTGTTTGGTGACCCCTGTGAAATGGTCATTTGACCCCAAATGGGGTCGCGACCCACAGGTTGAGAACCGCTGTGCTAAGCTATAGTTTTTATTTTCATTGTAAAAAAGTAGAGCAAAATGTAAAAACTATATATCTTATAATATCTTATATTGCAGTAACCTTTCAATAATAAACACTTGATCTCAACAATAAAAACTCTTGGGAATGTTTACTACTATGATATACTAGTATGATTTCGGAATACTTTTTCATTAATATAATGCTTTAAATTATATTTTGACAAACCACTATGTAAACAAGATTAAATAGAGAATTCAATAACATTTTTCATAAATATTCATCTAGTTTTCCTTATTCCTTATTCAATGTAAAATAAAATTGCATATCAAACTGAGTTAATTTCTATGTTTCAGTGTACCATTTATTGAGTATTGTTGAATGTAGTAATCATAGAAAAACTTCGGTATGATGTAGTGTAGCAGTCCACAGCAATGAGAAGCTCTGTTTTTCACAGTTATTCCCACAGAGAAGTTTTATTACTTCATAAATATATTTGTTGGCCTCAGGTTGAAAAATTGATATTTTGTATTAGACAGTGCTAATCTGGAGTCTCAGCAAGCACATGGACTCTGCTGCTCAAAAGGAATTTCAACTTGTTTTCTGTTGGCAAATTGATTAGGTTTGAAATGCAGCATTAGTAATTTTATCCCAGCTGAGAATGTGTAAGTGATAAATGAGTAGAGTAGAGTAGAATGATAACTTTATTGTCACTTTGAATGTACATCAATCAGCATACGTTAAAATGAAATTTCATTGCATACAGCTGTCAAACGGTAACCACCTCTGATATACAATACATAAATATGACAAAAATAAATAAATAAATAAATACAGAATTATGCATATACCCACATATATTATATGACACAGAGAAACAGCAGTATAGTTCGGGTTATGTATACATGTGCACGGTGAGAAAAATGTATCTTGTGAGTTTACCAGACGGTTGGCCTAGGGCACAGGTCGGCAACCTGCGGCTCCGGAGCCGCATGCGGCTCTTTGAGCCTCCCCCTGTGGCTCCCAGCCTCCTCTGCCTTTGCAGAGAGAGACAGAGACAGAGAGAGGCAATTGCACTTCCCTGCTTCTCTCTCTCTCTCTCTCTGTGTGTGTGTGTCTCTCTCTGTGTGTGTGTGTTGTGTGTGTGTGTGTGTGTGTGTGTGTGTGTGTGTGTGTGTGTATGTGTAAAAGAGAGTGCACTCACAGTGTTCTCCGAGGAGCTGAAAAGCTTTCTGGGCAGAGCTCCTCCCTTTGCTGCGTCTCTGAAGGAAGCAGGAAGGGCAGGAGAGAGCTAGCTAGCCCAGCTAGGCTGACTCAGGAATTCTGGGAGTTGAAGTCCATGAGTCATAAAAGAGATGAGGTTGCCTACCCCGGAGGTTGTTGGACAACAGCTTGAAGCTTGCCAGGTGAGCAGCAGATAGGAGGGGGGGGGAGAGAGAGAGAGAGAGAGAGAAAGAGAGAGAGAGGGAGAGAGAGAGAGTGGGGAAAGAGGAGTGGCAGACCAAGGGCAGATAGAGAGGGAGGGAGAGAGAGACCCTTTTGACATCTAAAATGAAGATAACACTGCATATATCCTTTTTTTACCTGTGTGTGTATGTAATTTTATTCTCTTTAAGCATTCTCTTGGTGATCATTGTTTTAATAGTATGGATATTCCCAAGAGTGATATTTTTACTTTTATTTTTAATGTGTATATGTGTGTGTGTGTGTCTGTGTGTGTGTGTCTGTGTGTGTGTGTGTATACACACATACACATATACATACACACACACACACCTATAATAAAGGTAAAAAAGGATATATGCAGTGTTATCTTCATTTTAGATATCAAAAGGGTTTTGCGGCTCCCGGTGTTTTGTTTTTGGTGGAAAACGGGTCCAAGTGGCTCTTTGAGTGTTTTGGGTTGCCTGCCCCTGGCCTAGGGAACAAAGCTATTACAAAATCGGGTAGTCCTGCTAGAAATACTTTGAAACCTCCTCCCAGAGGGGAGCAACAGAAACAGACCGTAAAGTGAGTGTGTGGGGTCTCTAACAATGTTTTGAGCTCTAAGCAGATAATGCTTATAAACAGCATCCTGAATACCAGGAAACAAGCTTCCTATGATCTTCTCGGATGTCCTTACCATTATCTGCATGGACTTTCTATTACTCTTGTTTGATTGCTTTCTTTAAAAAAAAATTACACGTAGCAAGAGTGGGAGGTAATAAATACTGGAGCAAAAATAATGTTAAATTTATGTGACAAATGGAAATTGGACTAAATCATTAGTTTTATCCATATATGTCAAATTATAAAGATGGTAGCTATGGCACATCATTTTTGTTTTAATAAAATGTCATATTTTAGGTTATATTCTCATGCCTTTTCCCCCAGTAAATATAAACATTATGCTGGTCTTTGACTTTAGTAAAGATTAGATTAGATTTTATAAACATACTCATAAGATTTAAAAATAAGAAGCAGTTGATTTTTCCTTGCACTGGTGAGATGCAATTCTGTGCAACTAGATTTTTACACATGATGGAAAGTTCTCTACCTATCATCCCCTACAGGTTTTACAGTCTCCCAAATTCTGCTCTATTCTCTGAAAGAGATTTGAACTGCCTTCCATTCCATATCATACTCTTGTGGTGGAAGGAGATGTGGCGAGATTGACATTAGCTTTTATTTTAATTTATAAACTTTAGAGTCATAGCCTTGATGTACAATCCTGAATAATCTAAAAAAAAATTGAACTACAATTGAACAAAGTTTACATTTGATTGTGAGATCACCATAAAATTGTAGAACTAGTTACACTGAGAAGTCAAAAAGAAAAAGACATTCTAAAGTAAGGTGGTGGAAACTACATTTTTTATTTCTTTTAATTTTAGTAAATATTATAATTATATTTGCATAATATAAATATTATAACAATAAAAACTAATATAAACTATAAAAATAAAATGAAAAGGGGGAAGGTGCAGAAAAAAGAAAAAACTAGAAAGAAAAATAGAAAAGATAAATAAGAATATACAGGTAGTGCTTGACTTATGACCACAACTGAGCCCAAAATTTCTGTTGCTGAGCAAGACAGTTGTTAAGTGAATTTTGCCCCATTTTACAACATTTATTGTCACAGTTGTTGTGAATCACTGCAGTTGTAACACATTTGTTAAATTAGTAACATTGTTAAGTGAATTTGGCTTCCCCATTGACTTTGCTTGTCAGAGGGTCTGCAAAGGTAATCACATGGCCCCAGGACTTCGCAACCGTCATAAATATGAAAAGTGGCCAAGTGGCTGAATTTTGATCATGTGACCATGGGGATGCTGCAGTGGTTGTAAGTATGAAAAGTGGTCATATGCCGTTGTAACTTCTAATGGTCACTAAATGAACTGATGCAGGTTGAGGACTACCTATAGTAAAGAAAAAGAAAAAATATATAAAGTTACTTCACATCTTCATCACAAATATAAACAATTTTAGTAACTTAGTACCTTCTTTTAAAATACAAATACAAAAAATGATTTTTTTCTTCCCATGTCCCATCTCTTGTCTATAAACAAATCCATAAAGCATCATCATTTTATTCCTAATATCAGCAAAACTCCATTAAGGGTTACCAGAGATAACAACATATTTATTTTAACCTTGATCAACCTTGATTTATATTCCTTCCTTTGCTTCTAACAATCTTAATCTTTAGTCCATTCCAATAATGTAGAACTTGATTTTTCATTTTTTCTTTTTCCCTTCTCGGTAGATACTTTAAAACTTTAACAAATCTTTTTTGTAAACCCAATATGGAGCGCGTGCACCCCCCACTGCTTGTGCAAGTGAGGATGTGTGTGCGTGCGTTCACCCGCCATTTCTGTGGCTTGGTTGCAAACAGCTCGTGGGCCACTAGTAGGCCACAGCCCAGAGGTTGGGGATCCCTGCTGTAATTGCAAGTCAAGTTTAAATATTCTTCTCCTTCGGTCGTAATTCTTAGCTCCCTCTAGTTCAGACATGTCAAATTCATGATGTCATGTGATGTTATGCAACGTATCAGGACGATTTTGCCATTGCTGGCGATGGGGTGGTCATGGCTTCCAGATGACACATCTGGCCTGTGGGCCGGCAATTTGACACTCCTGCTCTAGTTCCTTCTAGTTTCTTAAAATATTATTTAATTAATTTTTTTAAATTAAAAACAAAGGCATTTTCCACATGATTTATAATCAATTCCAGAATTTTATTTTAAATTTATCTGGACCCTTATTTCATTTGTTACTTTCTAAAATCAAAATTTTAATCATCCTTTTGCTGTTTATTCCAAAAACATAATGTTTTAAGTTCTTAAACTTGTAGTTAAAATTTCTTTCATTAAAGATAGAAGGAACTCACCCAGTGCTATTTATCGATCCAAAGTTTCACAATAGCTGAAAAGCAATTAATAAGCAAGTTCCAAAACTGATTTGAAAAAAAATATGGGAACTTTGTCCTTTCAAAGTCACCAACCGTGGTTAAGCAAGATTGTTATTCCCTCATCTCCCGGCACTCTAAATCCACCAGACACTGCTTTCTTGCAGTCTCCTTTTGAGGAATAGCTGTCTAAAGCAGTGATCCCCAACCTTTTGGGCACCAGGGACTGGTTCCGTGGAGAGAGGTTTTTCCACAGACTGGAGGGGGTGTGGTTTCATGTACTGCCTA